GTTGCTGTTGGCTGTTGTTGGCTGTTGGCGTTGTTGTTGGTTGTTGTTGGTTGTTGTTGGTTCTTGCTGGTTGTTGCGGGTTGTTGTTAGTTGTTGTTGGCTGTTGTTGGGTGGGCTGTTGTTGGCTGTCGTTGTCTGTTGTTGCGTGTGGTTGGTTGCTGTTGTTGCTGTTGGTTGTTGGTGGCTGTTGTTGCCTGTTGATGACTGTTGTTGTTGCTGGGTGTTGTTGGTTGTTGTTGTCTGTTGTTGGCTGTTGTTGTTGTCGTTGTTGCGGTTGCTGCTGCTGTCGTCACCGTCGCCGTCGTTGTTGTTAGTGTTGCTGTTGCTGTTGCTGTTGCTGTTGCTGTTGCTGTTGCTGTTGCTGTTGTTGTTGTTGTTGTTGTTGTTGTTGTTGTTGTTGTTGTTGTTGTTGTTGTTTTTGTTCTTCTTCTTTTGTTTCTTCTTGCTCTTATTGTTGTTAGTGTTGTTGCTGGTTGTTGTAGGTTGTTGTTGGTTGCTGTTGGCTGTTGTTGGCTGTTGTTGGGTGTTGTTGGGCGCTGCTGGCTGTTGTTGTCTCTTGAATTCGGTTGCTGGTTGTTGTTGGTTGTTGCTGGCTGCGGCTGGCTGTTGTTGGGTGTTGTGGGCTGCTGTTGGCTGTTGTTGTCTCTTGCTGTCTATTGTTGGTTGTGCCTGGTTGTTGTTGTATGTTGTTGGCTGTTGTTGATTGTTGTTGGTTGCTGTTGGCTGCTGTTGGCTGTCGTTGGCTGTTGTGGGCTGTTTTTGTTGGTTGTTGTCTGTTTTTGGTTGTTGGTTGTTGGTTTCTGGTTGTTGGTTGTTGGTTGATATGGTTGTGGTTGTGGTCGTTGTTGTTGTTGTTGCTGTTGCCGTAGTTGTTGTGATGTTGTCGCTGTTGCTGCTGCTGCTGCTGTTGCTGATGCTGTTGTTGTTGTTGTTGATGCTGTTGTTGCTGGTTGTTGTTGTTGCTGTTGTTGTCGTTGTCGTTGGGTGTTGTTGTGTGTTGTTGGTTGTTGTTGTTTGGTGTTCGTGGCTGTTGGTTGTTGGTTGCTGTTGTTGGCTGTTGTTGGCAGCTTTTGTTGTTGTTGTTCTTGTTCTTGTTCTTGTTCTTCTTTCTGTTCTTGTTCTTGTTGTTGCTGGCGGTTGTTGGCTGTTGTTGGTTCTTGTTGTTGCCTGTTGCTGGCTGTTGCTGGTTGTTGTTGGCTGTTGTTGGCTGGTGTTGGTTGTTGTTGTTGGCTGTCGGTTGGGTGTTGTTGGCTGTTGTTGGCTCTTGCTGTTGTTGGCTGTTGTTGGCTGTTGTTGGCTATTGTTGTCTGTTGGTGGTTGTTGCTGGTTGCTGTTGGTCGCTGTTGGTTGTTGGTGGCTGTTGCTAGCTGTTGTTGACAGTTGTTGGCTGTTTTCGGTTGTTGTTGTCAGTTGTCGGGCGTTGTTGGCTTTTGTTGTCTGTTGTTGCCTGTTGTTGGTTGTGGGAGGTTGTTGTTGGCTGTTGTTGCCTGTTGTTGGCTGTTGTTGGCTGTTGTTGGCTGTTGTTGGTGGTTGTTGGTTGTTCTTGGTTGCTGTTGTTTGTTGTTGACTGTTGTTGGCTGCTGTTGGCTGTTGTTCGCTGCTGTTGTATGTTGTTGTCTGTTGTTGGTTGTTGTTGGTTGTTGTAGTTGGTTGTTGTAGTTGGTTGTTGTTGTTGTGGCGGTTGTTGGTTGCTTGCTGTTTGTTGTTTGTTGTTTGTTGTTAGTTGTTAGTTGTTAGTTGTTGGTTGTTGGTTGTTGTCGTTGTTGTTGGCGTTGTTTGTTGACGGTTGTTGTTGTTGTTGCTATCTTTGTTGTTGTTGTTGTTGCTGCTGTTGTTGTTGTTGTTGTTGTTGTTGTTGTTGTTGTTGTTGTTGTTGTTGTTGTTGTTGTTGTTGTTGTTGTTGTTGTTGTTGTTGTTGTTGTTGTTGTTGTTGTTGTTGTTGTTGTTGTTGTTGTTGTTGTTGTTGTTGTTGTTGTTGTTGTTGTTGTTGTTGTTGTTGTTGTTGTTGTTGTTGTTGTTGTTGTTGTTGTTGTTGTTGTTGTTGTTGTTGTTGTTGTTGTTGTTGTTGTTGTTTTGTTGTTGTTGTTGTTGTTGTTGTTGTTGTTGTTGTTGTTGTTGTTGTTGTTGTTGTTGTTGTTGTTGTTGTTGTTGTTGTTGTTTGTGTTGTTATTGTTCGTGTTGTTGTTCTTGTTCTTGTTCTTGCTCTTGATCCTCTTCTTGATCTTCCTCTTGTTCTTGTTCTTGTTGCTGGTGGTTGTTGATTGTTGTTGGTTGTTGTTGTTGGCTGTCGTTGGGTGTTGATGGCTGTTGTTGACTGTTGTTGGTTGTTGTTGGTTGTTGACTCTTGCTGTTGTTGGCTGTTGTTGGCTATTGTTGTCTGTTGTTGGTTGTTGTTGGTTGTTGTTGGTGGCTGTTGGTTGCTGGTGGCTGTTGTTGTCAGTTGTTGGATGTTGTTGGCTGTTGTTGTTGTTGTTGATGTTGTTGTGGCTGTTGCGGTTGTTGCGGTTGTTGTTGTTGTTCTTGTTGTTGATGTTGTTGATGTTGTCGTCGTCGTCATTGTTGTTGTTGTGGTTGTGGTTGCGGTTGCGGTTGTGGTTGTGGTTAATGTTGTTGTTGTTGATGTTGTGGTTGTCGTCGTCATCGTTGTGGTTGTGGTTGTGGTTGTGGTTGTTGTTGTTTGTGTTGTTATTGGTCTTGTTGTTGTTCTTTTCTTGTTATTGCTCTTGATCTTCTTGTTCTTGTTCTTCCTGTTGCTGCCGGTGGTTGTTGGTTGTTGTTGGTTGTTGTTGCTGGTTGTTGGTTGTTGTTGGTTGCTGTTGGTTGTTGGTTGCTGTTGTTGGCCGTTGTTGGCTGCTGTTGTTGTTGTTGCTGTTGTTGTTGTTGTTGCTGTTTGTTGTTGTTTGTTGTTGATGTTGTTGTTGGCGGTGGTGGTGGTGGTGTTGATGTTGCTGTTGTTGTTGTTGTTGCTGTTGTTGTTGTCAGTTGTTGGCTGTTGTTGGTTGTTATTGTTCTCGTTGATCTTCGTCTTGATCTTGTTCTTGTTGTTGTTGCTGGTGGTTTTGGTTGTTGTTGGTTGTTGTTGTTGGCTGTCGTTGGGTGTTGCTGGCTGTTGTTGGCTATTGTTGTCTGTTGTTGGTTGTTGTTGGTTGTTGTTGACTCTTGCTGTTGTTGGCTGTTGTTGGCTATTGTTGTCTGTTGTTGGTTGTTGTTGGTTGTTGTTGGTTGCTGTTGGTTGTTGGTGGCGGTTGGCTGTTGTTGGCTGCTGCTGCTGCTGCTGTTGCTGTTGTTGTTGTTGGCTGTTGTTGTTGGTGTTGGTGTTGGTGTTGCCGTTGTTGTTGTTGTTGTTGCTGTTGCTGTTGTTATTGTTGTTGTTGTTGCCGTTGTTGTTGTTGTTGTTGTTGCTGTTGTTGTTTTTTGTTGTTGATGTTGTTGTTGGCGGTGGTGGTGGTGGTGTTGGTGTTGCTGTTGTGGTTGTTGTTGTTGTTGCTGTTGTTGTTGCTGTTGCTGTTGCCGTTGTTGTTTTGGTTGTTACTGTTCTTGTTGATCTTCCTCTTGATCTTGTTCTTGTTGTTGTTGCTGGCGGTTGTTGGTTGTTGTTGGTTGTTGTTGTTGGCTGTCGTTGGGTGTTGCTGGCTGTTGTTGGCTATTGTTGTCTGTTGTTGATTGTTGTTGGTTGTTGCTGGTTGTTGTTGGCTCTTGCTGTTGTTGGCTGTTGTTGGCTATTGTTGTCTGTTGTTGGTTGTTGGTTGTTGTTGGTTGCTGTTGGTTGTTGGTGGCTGTTGTTGGCTGTTGTTGTCAGTTGTTGGGTGTTGTTGGCTGTTGTCGTCTTTTGTTGTCTGTTGTTGGTTGTGGTTGGTTGTTGTTGGTTGCTGTTGGTTGTTCTTGGCTGTTGTTGGCTGTTGTTTGTTGTTGTTGGTTGTTGTTGGTTGCTGTTGTTTGTTGTTGACTGCTGTTGGCTGTTGTTGGCCGTTGTTGTCGGTTGTTGTCTGTTGTTGTCTGTTGTTGGTTGTTGTCTGTTGTTGTCTGTTGTTGTTGGCTGTTCTTGGCTGTTGTCGGCTGTTGTTGGCTGTTGTTGTCTGCTGTTGCTTGTTGTTGGTTGCTGTTGGCTGCTGTTGGCCGTTGTTGTCGGTTGTTGTCTGTTGTTGTCTGTTGTTGGTTGTTGGTTGTTGGTTGTTGATTGTTGACTGTTGATTGTTGATTGTTCATTGTTCCTTGTTCATTGTTCATTGTTGATGGTTGATTGTTGATTGTTGATTGTTGTTGTTGTTGCTGTTGTTGGTCTTTCTGTTGTGTTGCGGCTCGGGGTCGCTGAGCCCCTGTGAAAAATGTGCCAAAAGGGCCAGGGCTGGATGTTTCTGAAGTAGTGTAGCGGAAATTCATTGGGGAGGAAGTTCTTAGCCACTTGAGAAACCACCTGTTCTGATTCTACCTCTTTCCCTGCTCAGGGACTCATTGACCCCCGCTGAATTTAACCAATGGTGGAAGCGACCGCAAACTGCTAGAAAAGGATGACTGGCTGCTACGCGGCGTTTGATGGTTTTTGTGGGCTTGCGTTGGGAATCAGGCAATGGTATGGAGTCATGGAATGTTACACGGAAAGTATAAGACCTGGCCGGGCCATCAAACCCCACCGTAACTGCTCAAGCTGTCCCGCGGCGACCATAACAAGTCCCGCTAAACGTTGTCTGGTTTGGGGAGACCTTATCGTTTTACTTGTTGGGGAAGATCTTATCCATTCCCAATGCTTTTGCACACCGCCCGTTGCTCACTCAAACGCCGCAACTATTCTGTCAGTACACGAAGTACACTTTGGCAGCGCTAGCTCGAATATCAAAACTTTGCAGTACAAGTGTAACACACAAAGCGAGGGCCCGAAAATTGCAACTTTTCAGCAAAAATGCAGAGCGGATTCCTTTGTCTCCTTGTGTCATATTGAAGCTGTCGTGGAGAAGCGGTCGTTGTGTTCCGCTTGGCCTGCCCTACCCTTTCAAAATGTGCGCCTTGTCGATGGAAACGTCCACGAACACGGCTACCAAACCAGCACCCAGTCCAATGATGCACAGGAAGAGCCAGCGCGCGGCACCTTCACCCAACGACCCACCCAAAAGAAAGTGTTGACGACACTATGACACTGATCTGCTCGATTCGCCCCCGATTATGCCTTGAACATCAGATTGCAGGATCATGTCTGCCACGATTCCAAAAGCCGATAGCCTACCCAAAATAAGACGACTCAATCCCAATGGAAACAAGACAACACCCAAGGGTCACCCGCAAAAGAAGACAACAAAGAAAGAACACCGCATGCCTCAAAAAAACATAACGGGCGCCTGGTTGCCAACAACCTTCCCTCTCTGGCCGTTGCCAGCCTCATGCCCCATGGCTGTGGCTAGGTCCTTCTAAGATTGAGGATGGAACCCATCGCGGGCCTTCAACCATGTCAAGCCCGGAAGACTCATGCTTAAAAAAGGGACAAAACGAAAACTTGGAATCTCAGGGCGTCTCAAGCTTAGACTGTGTCCAAGGTTTTGCTCTAGCGCGCGCCCAGAAAGCCATGAGCAGCCACGTACAGGGGGAGCAAACTGCAGCGCACCAGTGCACAGAACAGCCTTTGAAAACAGCAGTTGGATAATGACCAACAGCCAATCTGTCGCGCAACAGACCCGCAACCAACGCTCTCTGCATTTTGTAGCATACGCGAAAGGCGCAAGGCGAATCCTGCGTGAGGCAACCCATCGTCCTCTTGCTCACCTGCAGCGACGAACGTCTGTTGAAAATCGGTTGGCACCTGTGTGAAGATCAGCTGCCTGTCCAGAAAGGGTTGCATGCTCGCGTCACGCCCACGTGACCCTTTTCAAATCACTGACACTTGGGGACAAGGACGTTATCCTGAAAGTCACGATAAACGAACAATAAACCACATGGTATAACATGTGTTGCAGCAAGCCACAATCGTTTCACTAGGATCTGCAAATTGCAGTCGCGACAAGATCATGGGAACCTTCAGCTACTTTCTCTGCCGACCAAATGAAGCGATGGGTCTTCAAGCGCAACGACCGCAATGGAATCAACTGCCGCAGTTTCGGGCACTGCGGAGATCCCATATAGTCACAAGGCGCCTCGCTTGAACTGCTTGGCCTCATCCTGCCTCCTCAAGTGCTCCTCAGCGTGTAGGAATTTCAACACGCCCGCAGTAAGCAGGCAAACAACCCTGGATCCACTTAAACGCCGGTAAGGCAAGAACTACTTAAGCCCCGTCGCGATCTGCCTTGCCCACTCATCTCTGGGCGTTGCTCTATTCAAGCGAACTACGGACAAAAGCAGCCAAGATCTACAATTTCTGCGTCAATCTAGCCGTCCATACGTGGAGGGGGTGTCTCCTCAACAAGCTCCCTACATGGACCCTGCAAGACCAAATGTCAGGTGTGTCAATTGAGGAACCCGGACCTCAACTTGCAATCACCAGCAGTTTCGGACCACCAGCATCGCCAATGCTTGAAGCGCTTGAGATAACATGTTACAACATGATTTGTTGATACCGCCGTGCGTGGATACCAAGCATGGATTGAAAAAGCCCTGACCCGAGCAACCAAGATACAAAATCTATGAGCCGCAAGGCGCTGTGCAATCCTGTAAGATTACGCAAGCCGGCACCCGTCTGCACCATGCGCACATATTCCAGCCATGCCGCGCTGGCTCAACGCGCTCTACTTTCAGGGCCACAGCACGGCGACACATTTTGCCTATTCTAATTGCATGATTCGCCATCTTGTGGTCATTGTCGCATGAACTACCCACCCCTGTTCAACACTGAATGCTGGGGCAAATGTTGCTCACATTTCACGTTAACTCCCATCGGATCAAAGTGCTGGGACACTGTATGCGGATACCAAAAGTTTCACTAGCACACCAGAAAGAAGTTACGCAAACAATATTGGGAGACAATATGTGCAATATGCCGAAGCTTGACCCGTCAACATAGGACAGTGGAACCCATGGAATTGTGTCATGTGAAGGGCCCTCAATGTTCCATGTTGGCTACGCACGCCTTTACTTTTTGTTGGTCACTTGGTCACAAGAGCAAGCAGTAGCTTACCAACAAGCAAACTACCCACTTTTCCAAATCCCGCCCAACATAATTTATCAATCCACTTACCAAAACCATATAATAATTAATACAATGTTTCAAGTTATTCATTTTTCAAGAATAACTTAAACCATTTCAATTATCCTCAACCTCATTCTTTTTTAAATTATCAATGTGCTTCTTTGTTTTTTCATGCCTCGCTTTATGTTTCAATCTAACCTCACAATCAAAAACAGAGCACACAAATATTTTCATGCCATAGTCTTTATTTATTTCGCTTATCTCCTCTTTATGATTATCTCTCCATGTCTGCGAGTAGATTTTCATTTTTCTCTACACAAATCACAAGTTTTATGATTTTCCGAAAATAACCCAATCTTTCTATTCATTTTACAATGTGAACAATATTGTTTTTCTCCTTCTTCTATTTCTTTCTGTTGCTTATCCATCGCGTTTTTCAGTCTCTTTCTTTGGTCTTTCGTTTTCTGCTTTTCACGGCATCTATCACAAGTTTTACAACTTCCTGAAAATACATCTATTGCCTTATAACATCCACAACACGCGCAATATGTTCTTTCCATAATCTCTTACAATAATAAGCAATCTACCCTTTAAATAGTTTTAGACACGAAGCTCTGCCGAGTTCGTGAGGTTTCACGACACAAATAATATTTTTGCTCTGGGGTAAGACCCTCATAGAAAAAAACCACCAAACAACAAACCACACAACCGACCATACAATAGATTTTTACAACAACCCGACAACAAAAACCGCCCGCGCTTCGTCTACAACGACTTCATCTTCAACCAGTGCCCTCGCCGTTGCATGTGAGTGTTTGTGCACATGTTTCATGAGTGGGCAAATGTCAACATTTGACCCTTCCAATGTTGAGATGTGACCCTTCCAATGTTGAGATGTGAGCCTTCCAATGTTGAGATGTGAGCCTTCCAATGTTGAGATGTGACCCTTCCAATGTTGAGATGTGACCCTTCCAATGTCAACATTTGACCCTTCCAATGTTGAGATGTGACCCTTCCAATGTCAACATTTGACCCTGCAAATTTCAAGTTTCAACACCAACCCCAAACTCGTTTTCCTTAATCCACCAAACTCACCAAAATTTCACAAATCAACTCACTCGGGATTTTGTATAAATCTTCCTGCTTATGGATTACATAATTATCACCCCATTCCGCCTTGGTTTTTGATGGTATCCGTTGCGCAGTTTCAGTATGTTTGTTATTAACCACTTTACCACAATCTTTATTACATAAACTTCGGGGTTTCCATCTATCAAGGTTGTTCCATAACCTTGTTCTCTTACGATAGTTAAAACCATATTTACAATAGTCGATGTCATTAAACCTTAACCCATTCATAAAAGACTGACTTTTCAATAATCCTGTCTGCGGACTTTCAATAACAAAATACGGAAAACCGAAATAGTCAATTATCTCTAATGTTTTTAATACAATACTATTAGCATATTCAATGTTTCTTATTCCCGTTGTTTTTGCTTTGCTGTATTCCGTGCAAGGGGGCGAACTCCAAATAAATTGAAAATGGTTTCTGTCAAATTGTTTGTAATCCCATTCAAGTATATCACAATTAATATCAGCATTTTTCAAATCTAATGAGATAACATTAAAACCGAGCGACTTTGCAATAAGTCCAACACTGCCTGTCCCACTAAATAATTCTAATAAATTCATATTATTAGAATGATTTAGATATTTATTATATTATTTCATACTTTCCCTCTTCGTTCTTAAACAGTTTATAATATTCAATGGTTTCCTCTTTTGGCTGTTTAATACGCCCTTTGTTTAACATTTCCACATATTGTTTTTGTTTGTCTTCAAAAGACCCTTTCGGACGCCCTAATCCTTCTTTTCAAAGATTTTATCCATCTTATCCTTATCGTCTTCGTTATTGCTTTTAGGTTGGTTTATTTTTTTCATCAATAGTCTTAACAAGTTCGGACAATGCTTTAACATTCTTACTAATAATTACAAGTTTTTCATTAAATCGGTAATTGTAAAACTTTCATTTTCTGACATTTCTATATATAAATATTTATATTTAATTATATATTTATTTATGCGTTTGAATTAGTGTTAAATCTACTCTTTATATACTAACTTAAGTCTCTGTTAAAACTAACATTAATTAAATGTTCATTAGTTTCAATTACCAAATCACCACCCGTTTTTTCTTAATATTCAAATCTGTATCTGATTTTTTATAAGAAAACATACAAGGAATACAACTAACTTTAACGCCACCTTTTTTATCTACCGTCAGTTCATTCTTAAAATTCATAACGTGATTACATCTATCACATTTTATAGGTTTACTTTCGCTCATTGATTTAACACTTTCTGATGTTTCTTTCCGTGCTTCAATATCTGGCATTGGTCTTTCTTTGCTTTTACTCTTTTTCTTTCCCATTTATATTAATATTTACATTTTTATTTTTGATATATTGAATTCCTAACTTAATTAATTCTAATGAATAATAACAACATTTTTTAATTTTATTGTCAATTATTACAACTTGTTCTATTTTCTCAACTTCACCTATTATATTAATATAATCTGAATAAGCCCTATTCATATAAATAATAAGATAAATTATTTTTTCATGTCTGTCTTTCTTTTCTTGTAACGTTTTTTTCATTGTATCGTCTTTATTCCATCTATATTCCACAAATTTCTGATGATGTTTTGAATTTAGATGTTTAAATTGTAAAACATGTCTAGCGTCAGAACCTGCTATATCTAAAATAGACGAACACGAAAATAAACCTGATACTTGTAAATTAGATAATATTGTAGTATTATGATTTAATAATGTTTTATCATTTTGAAAAGTTGAAGAATTATTAATTTCTACATCTCCAAAACCTCTTTGATTTAAACACATAGTTGCTCCACTTAAATTTCCATAAATATAACTATCAACATAATTATTGTACATTTCACAAAAATTATTATAATTCCCAAAATTTGCTATTTTAAAAGTAGATGTTGTTGTTATATTATGAATTAGTGTATTATTTAATATTGATGTATCTAATTTTTCTGATAATAAACTATTAGTTGTTATTTTATTGTAATATAAATCACTATCAAATGAACCTGTTTGTAACTGAGATATTAAATGAGAATTTGATGAAGTATTATTAAAATTAGTTGTAATAGTAGAATTTAAATTATTTATTAAGTTTGCATTTGATGAAATATTACGAAAATTTGTATTAATTAAGTTAGTATTTGAAGAAATATTATTAAAATTAGTTGTCATAGTAGAATTTAAAATATTTATGAAATTAGTATTTGAAGAAATATTATTAATACTTGTATTAATTAAATTAGTATTTGAAGAAATATTATTAAGATTAGTTGATACAGTAGAATTTAAATTATTTATTAAATTACTATTTGATGAAATATTATTAAAATTTGTATTTGAAGTTATTGTCAGATTTCCTATTAAAAATGAATTTGAACTAATCTTATTTGATAATACATTAATTTCTGTTTTGTCATATATTTCAGTTATATCATAAAAATGAGCATTTATCTGCTCCTTTGTATAGGTGTCTGCATGGTCTGCTTTACTATCTAATACTGTTTGAATGTCAGATTTACTCGCGTAAAGGTCTTCTATATCATTGACTGCTCCGTCTTTTACTTGTCTAATTCTATTTGCTGTAATATCGAAGATATTCGTTAAGTTCTTGCTCATAATATTATATTATTAATTAGAAAATTAATAATATCATATCTTTTATTTAATCATAAAATGTTACAGAATTTGAACGGATTTCAAGTATGCACTCATGAACCATTAGAATATAAAGTCTCTCTGCCATTTTACGTTCAGAATATAATGTTGAACCATCCAACGCCTTTATTTTTACAACGCGCTGTGAGTTATTTTTTAAATTTAAACCTGTGTAGAAGGCACTTTCTAATTTTTGTAAATTAAAACCATACATAAAAGCGTGAGACCTGTAATCTTCTGCTCTAACTAACATTGGTTTATCAAAACAATGCATAAGATGGGCG